CTGCTGCCTCTGCCGTTGCGAGGCACTTGTCACCCCCGGCAGCAGCAAGCTGAGCTGCCAGGCCCGTGCCAGGAGCGCGGCAGCGTCAGTGCCCAGYGTGGCCAGGGCTGCGGCACAGCCTGGAGCTCCAGTTACACCGAGGCTGGAGACGTGAAGCCCAAAACTTCGCTACCACTGGTGTTCCCCGCATTGCCTTGCATTATTCTCACTTGATTTTTCTCACTTTATCCTCCTTTCCTAATTTAGGATTTTACCATCTGGTTTCCTTCCCACTCCAGCAAACCCCATTCTCCTAACAGGGGGAGAGTTTGTTGTTCTCGTCACCTTCTCAAAGCTGGGATTCAGGAATGGGATAGTCTACACAACCTTTTGGCCTATGTCACTGAGCAAAAGTGCATTTCCAAGGAATGTTGAGTAAAACAAGCTTTCCAATCAAAAAGACAGAGCAGATGGTCATGAAAAAGAAGAAGAARAAAAAAAAAAGCCTCTGAGCCAAAGGGCATTAAATCCAACAAGATTTGATCACCATACAGCCCAGACACACTCTTCTTGTAATTTTCTGCTAGCACTTCAAATGACCCCCTGGGAAAGATAAGCTTGCCTGCCTGTGCAAGCCACATGTCCAGCCTGTGCAGTTGAGCAGAATTTTCACTAACACAGGTTACAGCTGATCAGAGCTTAGCTTCAAGCACAAGTTCTCTCTGGGCAGCTTTAAAATACAGGATGCTTTACACACTAGCAGCACTCTGGAGCCCTGGGAACACGGGCATGACAGCATCTCCCCCAACTCCCGTGCTGCAAGGAACAGCAAGAGGCTGCTTGTGCAGGGAGATAATGGATAACAAAATAATGACCGATTCCAGAACAGCCCTGAAGTTTCCTAGTTTTGGCATAGCTTAGTTCAGCCTGCTGTAATTCCACAGCAGAGAGAGAAAGGAGTTAAAAWTAGATCTTTCCTTGGAGAGAAAATTCTTCAGTTCACGAGAATCAAGTTAGCCAAGGTGATGCTGTCCCTGTGCTGTAGTGCAATAAAGCACCATTTCCCAAGCTGAGCAAGCAAGGCATGCATAAACACTTTGGTTATATATTCAGCTATAATGGTTTTTATGTTTTACATTAAAAGAGCATGCTTTAATCAGTAGGAAGGTTATTAAATATGTTTTGTCAATGCTTAAATTTCTATTGTTTAATGCCTTCCTGGAAGTATTTTTTTTTTTTGCTAATTTTCTGGCAAGAATGATASATACAATATCTGAAGTTATCACATTATTTCCTTCTCTAGGATCATAGGCTTTCTGATCTGAGAGTCTATGGGGCTTGATGGTAAGTCCATTACTGCAGCAACATGGATYTGCATTAGTCTTTGCTGAAATATTGCTTATAATGATATGCAAATTATAAACATTGAACAAGGCGCAGAAGGTATTTCTAGATGCACCTGGACACGTTCAGCCTAGGCAGGCAATTACCCATATTTAAAAGAGGAAAAAAGAAGGGGAAGAATCAGAAAAGCAGCATCTCCTAGGAACCACCGCGTCTATTCTGGACTGTAACCTGCTAAGAGCACTAAATGCACTTAAGTACGTGCGAGCTGGATTAAATTACTACATGTAGACACCGTTTGCATCCTGGGGAGAGGAGCACACACAACTGCTTCGGGAATTCAGAGCTCTGCTCCTACAAAACCGATTTTTCCTTAAAAACGCGTAGCTGGTTGTTTGCAACAGCAGCCTAACGGGAAGCGCAGGGCAGCGCACAGGATGCTGCGGGATTTCGGGGCTGCGTAACTACTTCTAGGGGGCTAATCCCGGGCGCGCTGCAGAGCCCTTCCCGGGGGCGGGCGGCAGCCCGGGCGCTGCAGACCCCGCTCCTGCCCGGAACGCTCCTTTGTTCCGCGCGGGCTGCCGCAGCGGGACGGGGCCCCGCGCCTGGCACCCCTCCCAAGCCCCCCTTCCCCCCAAATAACAATAGCAATGCCAAGGTGTGCGGGAGGAACGAAGCACGGGGCCCCTCGCGGCGCACTCACCGTCGCGGGCCGCTACAGCGCCATGATGCGGCCCCGCCGCCGTCCCGGGCGCGCCCTGCGGCGCCGCCGCGATCTGCGGAGCGGAGGACGAGGAGGAGGACGGGCAGCAGGGAGGGAAGGAGGGAGGAAGGCGGGCGGCGGGGCCGCCTACCGGCGGGCACGGGGGGAGGGGGCTCTCCGCTGCGCCGGAGCCGCGGGGCGGGCAGGGGGCGGCGGCAGCGCGGGGCGCCCAGGTGGCCCGGCCGTCCCTCGAGCGGCCCCCCGCCAAAAACGGGGCGCGGGGGGGCCCCTCAATCCTTGCTTGTCCTTTGAAGGTGCCAATTAGCCTCTTTTCCAAAGCGCTTCCCACGCTGGGCGCAAAAATAGCTTTCTGCACGYGTGCTCAAGGGACGTGGTTTAATTTTCCTCCAAGTCCCTCCTTTTCAGTCCRTGATCAACTATGAAACGTATCTGCAATGGAAACGTTAAGGTCACCAAGTCAAGCACTTAATGACTAGGAAATGCAGTTCATGCCTTGTGCCAAAGGCGAGAAAAAAAAAACAAACAAAAAAAAACCTACTTAATTCTCATCTTTGACCCTCTTCAACCAGAGCTCTGTGGAACCCTCTTCTACTCGAGGGCATGGCAATGCCCAATGCACCCAAATAGTGGATATTTTGATCTGCAGAGCTGGCTGCRAAGGAGCTGCACTAAGCAACGCATTTCGGACTACAGCTTAACAGCCTCATTTATCTGGGTCGTGTTTTGCATGCTGGAGCAAGGCTTCAACCTTAACTCGGTGCAATGCAACCAGAAAACAGCTTCYTTCCTCCAGCACTGTGGTAACGTTCCCAGTTTCTAGATGACATTTTTCCCCCCCATCTCCCCTAGAGGTCTTTGCTCTGAGCTCCTGTGCCCACTGGAAACTACTGTCACTCTATACAGGAGGAGCCACAGCATTCCCAAAGGGACTGAATCCAGACCTGGTGAGCTTCTTGCACAGAGCTCAGGAACACAGGTGAAATGTGCTTCGTCAGGTAGATGCACTTGGTAAGACAATTCARCCATAATTGCACAAGATGCATCAGCAACATAAAAAAAGACAGATCTATGTTATAAGAGCAGCCTCCCCTCTCCCCCAAAAGCTATCCTTTTATCCACAAAGATGGAAAAAATGTAAAATATAGGCTGGAAAGGACYATTGACTCTAGTCCCTTGCTTGTGGGGCAAACTTCAAAAAGTTGCTATAGACCATAGTTAACCAGTCTTCAATGGAGAAGGGAAAAAACAAAAAATAAAACAAATTTCACACACAAGAAACCCCCCTCCACAATTAGATTTTTCTCTTCTGATATATTTGCAGGTGGTTGCCTGAAAAATCCCATGCCCCAATAGTTAGAAATTTAATTTCCAGCCTAAAATTATTARCAACCAAATCACAGTGCTGGCCAGTAGCCATCCAGTTAGGTGCTTCTATTTTTTGCAACCGATAGCTTACAGCAAGAGTTCTTGCACATCTTGTAAAACATGGCCTTGCTTTTTATCTTGTTTCMTTGGAGGCAAGAGTAACAAATGCAGAGTCATCCAGGACTCATACAAGKTTTCAGCCCCTCTGTTGATGACTCTTCCAGCTTCTCGCTGCCAAGAATTTTACTTAACACATTACTGCTTCACGTGTTAAATTCAGTCCTCGGGTAACTCGGTGAGAGTCATCAGTGCTGTAGGTTTTTTTCCAACTCTGTGCTGCCAGAGCAGAAGCTCAGCGATATGGGTTACCTGGCAGTGTTAGTGCTGCTCCTCTCCAACTTAATTAGCAATTTCCCTGTGGCATCACAGCACATGCCCTCCTGAAGCAGCAGATCTTGCTTTCCCCTGAACAACACACTTCTCTAGAAGATCTGCAGTCCTGTCAAGAGGAAAACACCACTCTTGCCTAGTCATATTTGCCTTCGGTAAGGTCATGTTGTAGCTAGGTCATTTTCCTTCACATCTCTAGAACAGATTTTGATAAAAACAAACAAACAAAACACTACTTTAAGGGACTAATAGTCCATTTTTAAGGCAAATTATCTTTTCCGGATGATGCTCTGAATGCTCKGAATGAGGTGGATCATTGCTAAACTGTAGACTCACACAGTGCTGTGCTAAACTCAATGACACACAACTTSTCAAGAAACTTACCAAGCTGCAGTTTGATGGACCCATTCACTCAAGGGCTCTTATTTTAGTACAAAGTAGAAATACTTTCTTTAGTATTTAGTAAGTGGAAATATTTTTACTGTGCTGCACCTTCCATTCTTTTTAAGTTACAGCAAGTGGAAGAAGTTATGCCTTAAAGCAAAAATATTGCCTGTACTTAAAAGCAGCAGTGAAGTATACATTAGATAGACAGAGGAGCCGCTAGTTGAGCGCTATCACACTTTCCCAGCATAGTTTGTGGAGCTTGCTGTGAGTAATAAAAGCCAGCAAGGTCACCTGCATGATTAATTTAGTGTCATAAAAGGTGATAGGAAGAAGCAAAACAAATAGCAAGAGACCTAACTCAGACARAGGTGAAAATTCAAATACTCAAGTTGCTCTTTATTTTGGATGGAAGTCCTTGTTGTTCTACCATTTACTGATAAAAGGCAAGGCTGACAGCCTGCATATTATGTCCTTGTGAAGAACCTCATGGGGCTCTGACATGCTCCAGCACTTCTCTTTCCTCAGGAAAAGTGCCACTCGGGTACTATTGCACGCATGTATGAAATTGCTCTTTAGCTAATATATTCCTAGAAGGACAGAAAATAGTTCATTTTGTTTTCTTTTTAACAAAAAAAATTAATTTTTTAATAAACACAGTAGCAGAAATATTTCACTTCTATTTGCACTCAACTACTTAGACAAGAAAAGGAATGTATTTTGTCTAATATTGGAATAGTCATAAAAGTTGTAGGAAAGGAAAATAATCAAAGAGTAAAAACAAACTCCTGTTTCCATAAGGGCTTTTTCTTACCTCAGTTCCTGAAGCCAATAACTCAGCTTATCATTCTGTCTCCTCCTAGTTTTACTCAGGATCAAACAGTACTCTCCTGTTACTCTCAGAATAAATTCAAACCTCTGGGTTCTTTTAATCCTACCTGCCTGCTTCATAAGTTCTTTTTCAGCTGGACATTGTCAGGGTGTGATTGACACAGCCAATTGACAATTAATCGGGCTGCTAGTGCTTTTCTTGGGCTTGGAGCTGGGGATCAGCTAAAAGGTTTTATTTTTTTTATCTCCTGACTCTATTAAGCCAGGAGTGGCTCAGTGCAAGAGGYAATTGGTGACAGTGCTGTGCATTTAAAAGAAAAATTGCCCTAATGGAAGTGTACTGCTAAATATGAAGATACTTACAATATCAAAGGAACAATAGCAGCAGATTAAGTACTGTAAAACTAACTGCTGTGTTTCCTTCTTTAGCTGAGCTGAACAAACTTCTTTGCTTGTGAGGAAAAGAAGAGTGCATTAAAATGGCCATACCTTTCTCCTGTCTGCTAAAGCCCATCAAGTCTGATTTCATTTAAAACACCTATTTGTGCTCACTGTGTGTGGATATGCATCACACCTGTCATTCAGGAGCCCCTGTGTGTATATGAAACTGTACAGGGCTTTGGCAACAGCCCTCGCAGGAATGAAATGGAGGCTCTGCAGGGCCAGCAGCAAACAGATGGCAAAAGAACGCTGTAATTTGTGAATCTGATGCGAGGGCTTTTGTCAACGTATTCAGGTGGGAATGGAGCTCGGGTTACCCTAGGTGAATGATGCCATTGAGCAAATGTCCAGCTGTGCCTTCCGGGAGGTGTCATATGGCCCAGTCTGAAGAGGATGCTCAGGTGAAAGCGTAGGACAGCATTTAGCTGAACTGACATCATCACTGCCCTACACATGTGCACTCAGGTGCAAGTTCCAGGAATGATTGTTACATGGGAGGAATTTGGAGTGTGTGAGACCCCTCACAGATGCAGCAGGACTGGAGCTTACAATGCAATTCTTACACTTGTATCATGGTAGCCAAAAGCTTTTCTATATCTGCTTGGAGATCTATAGTTTATTTTTTGAATAAATAAAAAGAGTTATAAGTTATATGGAATCAATTCCATTTGAGGATTGATAAGAACCTGGAAATCTGCACTAAATATCTGTAAATTTGCTTAGGTGTGAGAATGTGCATGTGCAACATATACAAAKTGGTTTAGCATCTTCCTTATGTCAGATCCTGTACAACGTGTGTATGACTCTCTGTTTTCACTCTGTATTACCAGGTAGTCAGGCTGGGATTTACTTGATGGAACTGGGAGTCTGTAATTCATTCATCCCCATGGCAAGCAGCGCCCAGGCAGTCTGCATGATCCTGAATTATGTGGTGCAGCGTTCCCCTCTTGGGTGTCCATGTGCATTCAGGTAGGTGTTGACTGCACTCCTGGGAGCTTGTACTTGGTGGGTGTACAGGTACCTGCAGATGGATGCATGCACACCTACGGTTGGTCTGCTGAATAGCATAGAAATATGCTATACAGAACTGTCTTGGCATGGTAAAGAAGAGGATGAGATGACAAAATACTTTTCAAATCTTTAACTTACATAATTTTGTTTGCTTAAGAAATCTGGTTACCCTAATTAAAAAGAGAGCACTTAGAAAAGAATTTGCTATTTGTGGAGTCATTTTGATTCTTGAGATCTGTCTCCACACTTTACTTTTAAATATTAAAACAGCTGTCATTTCTTTGTGCCTAGCTCAGGAGAAGTATCACCTACAGAAATTTCCGTGACGGTGTATTACAGGACAAGTATGATGTGACTCTGGCATATTGGTATTACAGCAACTAAAGCAGTCTGCACGCAGCCTATATGTCCATTTCTTAAACTGCTCTCCTAGCCATTTTGCTCATTTACAGTGCCACACTTCATTATACTCAGTCTTTTTACTGAAGATGCTATAAAGTTTAGCACAGAAGACAATAACAGAAGCATGCAGATGATGATAACATGAGAGATGATGTGTCTCAGGCTTGCTCATATAGACTTGAGAGAGATGACAGCTAAGTGAAGCAACCAGTATGCTCATTTAGTTTAGCYGTCTCTTGAGGTAAAGAATTCTACTAGAAAGGACTTTGTCTTATGAATTAATGTCATAATGTTTTAATTTAAATGGTTCTGYTTGTTCTTGCCATATAGAGATTTGCAAAACAAAACAAAACAGCACTGTAGACCAGAGTACAAATCCTATATGTTAAGAATGCTTGCTTTTTAATAATAAAAGTGAACAAACTTCAATATGTTGATTATCATCATCCTGTGTCCTGWTCTTCTCCACTAAAACGTGCGCCAAACATATTTATGTAAGTGTGAAGAAGAAAAGATTGTATTTATAAAGTTTTTTTTTTGAAACAAATGCTCAATGAGGGAAACAAAAAAGGTCATGAACATTTCTTGTGTATTCTTCTTTTCAATTATCCCCTGTAATTAATCAGATTCACACTTTGAATGAAATGTAGCATATGCATTCAAGGACTACACTGTGTTGCACAAGCAATGATTCATGAAGATTCACAACCCTTGCTTGAGTTAGATAAATATTTATGAATATATCATACAGAGTGTCAAACTGAGTCACAAAGAAGTGATGTTTATTAAAAAAAATCCACTAATTTTGCATGCTTTCATTTTTTGGTATATCCAATTGAAAATTTTGCAACTTCTTTTTACAGATGTGTTCAATATATTACAGCTCCTAAGAAGTCAATGACAACTGAATTAAGCGAGCAGCAAGTGGGGTGCCCCAAATGACCACTCATGTCTGAAAATTTTTGCATAAATGCCTTGCTTATGGTTGAACAGCTATTCTTCTTCCAGCAAACATGAATCCTATTGCTGATAGGAGCTGCTGAGATGATGCCTGTAAGGACTTGAAAGGAAGAATCTTAGGCTACTGCACATATTACATTATTTTCTCCTGTCTCACTGTAGACATTGGGGAGGTGGAAGTGCAAGAGACCAGAGAAACTTCAGTATTATTTCTTTCTCTGTATGTAAGCAACATTGTTCCCTTTAAAAATCAACTTTGCAGATGGTGTCTGGACTGCAAGCACCAGAGCTTTAAAATATATATTAGTTGGTGAAGTAGTCAAATTCACTGCTTGATATGACCTGATTGTCCTTATGATACGTTTATATCCTTAAGGATAACCATGAGAAGTGATGGTTTCCAAGGATATGCAGGAAAAGAGAATGCCCGTCTAGTGTAGATAGCAGGGAGGATCTCTGGGTAAGGTCACATTGCATTTTGACTGTCTACCAAATCCTAATTGCTTGTGACAGAACTGGGTTTTGCCAGGTTAGTGTAAGATTCTGACTGTAGGGCCAGAAGAGAATAATGTAACTATTATTCTGAAAAATAATACTTCCTGTCTCATCATGGAAAACAATCCTAAAGAGAGAGAATGTGAAGTCCATGCAGGCTTTGAAGAAGTGCTGATRATTTTCAGCCTTTGGAGTGTTAAACAAAGCAGAAATTTTAAATCTTCCAGCTAAGTTCATACCAAGGCCCAAATAAAATATTTCTCGATAGTCTGAGTGATTTGTAGGGGAATCAGTAATTTTTATGGTTCTTTCAGTACTTCATATTATTCTTCTGATACTCCAGAAAGTCAACTAGACTAGCATTAGAAGACCTTCCTGCGCTTTGCTGAAAAGCAGAGAAAGAGTCACCTGGGCAATGAAAGTAGGATTTCCAGTTCAACATATGGCCAATGGAGGATTCGTTYGTTTTTTCAGCGGTGCTTTTTTGTKTTGGTTTATGGACCAGTAATTATCTCTAAGCCTACAACAGAGGGCCGATGGACCTACCATGTAGTATAGTAGCTGTGCCGTATTTTCAGTTAAAAGACTGACAACAAAGGTGCATAGTGACCAACTGACAGTGGTCCATCGGCCTTAGCCTGTGTGGGGACCCCTTGTGTAAAGAAATGAAAATGCCAGCAGCCTCTATGTACCAGAGAAGACAAGGCTTTGGAGAGGTTAAAATCCTACATCTTCACTATTGCTTATGGTTAGAGAAATTTCAAAAAACTTAAAACTGAGGGCAAAATCCTTGCTTGCAGGGTGTCGATTTACTGAATACATAAATATGTAAATTTACTGAATACGTTTTTAGGGAAATGTTCCTAGCCTTGTTTCTATCCATACACTAAATTAGTGGTAATCAGGGCATCAAGAAGACATTTTGGGGCTGGAGGTGTTTGTCGTTTTGGTTGTTTTATGCCATTCCAATACACTTATTTTAGAGAAAGACTGTATTCAAAGTAAGATAACACAGGGAAACCCTTGCAGCAACAACAGAAATTTGAATTCCAATTTATATTCACATATTTCTCCCCATTTGTTTTCTCCTTCCCAACATTTATTGTGACCTTAATTCTGGCTAACATTTTAGCTCAGCGTGATATGCACTGTCCCTTGGGTACTTCAGAGGTAAGCCAGGCCTAAAGCTTTTAAATACTGATTGTCCATCAACCTTCCCCACAGTTCTGGTGTGTACCTGGAAGTTCAGAAAAAAAAAAAAAATGAGAACTCTTCAAGAAAGGATCAGAGTTTTTCTTTGTATTTACACCTCCAGGACGTATTTCCAATTCTAGTGAGAGTATATATAAGGAAGTGTCGTATTAATGGTGTCCAATGAGAGCAGATAGACCCCTGAAGTATATCTGACAACACAAGTTAAAATTGTTAATATTGTTCCCCCTCTGACTGCTAATATTTGCTTACATCTTGTTAAGGCAGTCTCAGTGCATCGAAGTGCTATGAAGTAGCCACCACCTGCCCAGTCCTTAACTATCACTGATTTTTAGGTTCTCTGAATAAGATCTATTGCTGTCCCAACAGAGAACTAAAATCTGCCTGCTCAGACCCTCCGATAAAGCTGTGTTTGTTGTTGGATCAAAGAAAATTATTCCACAAAAAGTGTTTACTTCCCTGTTAGGATGGAAGTGAACCTACAGATTATYACCAGATTGTGATAGGAAACCAGTATTGCCAAATTTTACAATGCTATCATGMAATTTATACTATTTAGTATTTTTCTTAAAGTTTCAATATCCTAAATCTACAAGAAAGAGGGGAAAAATAAAAAAGACCTTCCACCAAACTCTTAAGTTTTTATTTTTGAGCAAAAAAAAAAGAAGACTGTATGAAGAGAGTGTAGGCTAAAACTTAGAAAGCAGAAAGAACAATGATATCACTTAATGTTTTTGAGTCACTTGAGAATGATTTTTGTTTGCTAGCATTTTATAAAGAAGGTTACATCCTGCCTTCATCGTAATAACTGGCACATCTTCCATTGATTTTACTAAGACTTAGATTTCTCTCTGTCTCTGTTTTTAGTCTTATGCAATTGCTAAAGAATTTGTAAGTTGTTTTTCAGTTTTTTTTTTTTTTTTTAGGAAGAAATATGAAATCTAGCATTGAACAGCACAAATGCAGAATCAAAATGACATGCAACACAGAGAACCTTCCTGAAAAATATAAGCCTTTGGCACTGCAGAGATTTGTCATGGAGAATTTTACTATCCTAAGTGGCAGCAGTAGCACATTTTGAATTTAGGTCAACAGATATTGTCAAAGTTCCTGACAATTACATGCATGTACTCTTAAAACAATCCATCTCTGTCTTCTCAATTATTACGGTACTCCTCTACAGTACTCTTCTTGGGTGCTTTTGAGCTCTCTTTAGTACCCAGGGGGTTCTTCTTATTTCTGTAACAAATTGCTATCCAGAACCATATCCTATTTGTCATGATTCTTAAACTGCAGCTTCTTAAATCAAGAGATTTGATACAGCAAATCCTACTATCTTCCTGTGATTTTCTTGTAATTGAGTTTGAAAGTGATGCAAATCCAGTGTCATCACATTAGGTTAAAGCATGGCATGGATTGCATTGGTATAAAAGGAAATAAGATTGTCTTTCTGCATATGGATCTGTAACCTGTATTTCTCACAAGAAATTCAAGTATTACTGCCTGTTTATCTATTATCATATGAAGTGGAAGGGGAATATATATACTTTGACCATGTCCTCAAGAACGAGGCAAAGATAGAATAGTGCAGTAAGTAGTGTAATTTCCTCCTGGAAAAAGTCAACAGCGTTTTGTTTCTCATCAGCGAATATGTGGGAGCATGACATTCTGCTTTAGAATATGTTTCCTGCTTATCAATTACAAGAAAAGAGAGCCAAACTCAAGACCTTTTGATAGAACACATTTTTTTYCCAGGCAGGGGGAGGGAATGAAAAAAGGACTGAAAATTTAATTTCAAACTCAAATATTTATTAAAAAAATCATTTAAAAACAGACAAGTTACTTAGAAAAATCAAGATTTTACCCAAAGCACTTTTAATAAGAGAATAAAATGTAAAACRTAAGTAAGCCTGAATCTTCACTTTTGTGAGCTGCTCTGTTGTTTATTCAGTCACAATGGAGTTAAGCATATGGAGATGGGTTTTGACTTGTGGCCTGTATATACTGTGGTATCTGGAGGAGTAGTTTCTGTGTGGAACTGCACAGAACTGCACTTCAGAGCTTAAATTGTGAGGGAAATAGCAATTCTGATTTGAGTACAACTGGCTAACCATTTTCTTTTCAATTAATGTTTACAAATATACTGAAACACTATTCTAAATATGAAAAACAGAAACAGCCTTTGGGTAGGTGTTTTCCATTTGTCCAAACAAGTAGGTAAAAAAAAAAAAAAAAAATCCCTTTTTTAAAAAAAAAAAAAAAAAAAAAAAAAAAAAAAAAAAAGAAAATCCCTCTTTTCATTAGAATCACCTTTTTGGTGGCCTTCAGGTTTCATAAACTCCCAGGCTCAAGGAACACTTTAATAGAAATAAGAGCTGTTGACATTATGTCTGGTTATTCTTCCCCATGGCACTCTGACTTACAAAAAACTCAGATGATGATAATTGGTGTTTTCAGGGATTAGCCAATTCTTGTTATGCCATCATCTACCAGGTAGGTAGTTAATATTACTTTACATATGGGGAAATATAAGCAAAGGCCTGCGCTATCATATAATGTTGTCAAGGCACAGGTGGAGTGATTGGGACAAGGATGCAGAGTGAAGTAATGCCATGGGCCATGGTGGGAGGAGGGCAATGACACTATCTAACAAAACACTGCCGTCATAGTCCTGCATTTGTACCTCTGAACCCCCACATCCTTGTTTGGCTTGTACCTTGTGCATACTACATAGCTGTATCAGGCTTAGGTCATGGTCTATGTTCCATGGGAGATTTTTATTTCTTTTCTATGAGCTCTGCCCTACCTAGGTGTATGGGTTGACTTCTAGAGAGTAGATCTGGGACAACGTCATAGAACTGGCTCCTGACTATGGATTTGCAAGACTCATTAGTTGCCTTGCACACCACCCACCTGAGAATCTTGTATCTAATTGTTCTTGTAAAAGGTTAAATACCCATGGGAATTTGAGAGAGGGATAAAATGAGCCTGGTATTTAAATAGAGAAGAAAAAAAAAGGCAGTTTTTTAAGGAGTAAGTTGAGAAGTAGAGTATTAGCCTACAAAAGGCAGAATAAGTGTATTATGATGCCAGTTGTGTGTCCTCTAGCTATGTGCCTGTAGACCACAGCTCTGACCACAGCACAGTATCCCTGCTAACTAGACCCCATCCCTTCGTTGCACCTTGTTCCTTCCCGTTCCCACTTCCACTTTTGTCTATCCTGAGATAAATACCTGTGCACAAGCAAGAAGTGTATGTGAGAGCGGAGGGCTAAGCTCAGCCCTTGATGGGTAGCCACCTCCAGCTAGGCAGTGTCAAAGCTGTCCTTAACCTACAGCGTGGATGGATACAGTTTATGTGACATGTTTTGGGATCCCTAGCTCTAGGAGGGTGCACTGGAGCCCTTTGTTTGCCCTAATCCATATGTGTAGTCCCTCTGTGCATCCCTTTGCTGGGATGCTCGTTCCCTAGCTGAGCCTGCAYGGCACAGGGTGACTCTGCCCTGCTGCGGATGCAGGCTCAGATGTTAACTTTTTCTCCGCTGCAAGCTCAGGAGCAGAATTTACTGATCTGGAGGAGGAAGATAAAAAGCAGGTTTCACAGGGAGAGAAAAGGAGGTGCTGGAGGGAGGAAGGGACTGCCAGCAAGTAGAGCTGGGCAGTTTGATCAGCTCCTTAGAGAGAAGAGAAATAAGGAAGTAGAGCAGTTAAAAAAATGCATTAAAAACAGGTGAAGTGCTAAAGTAGGACAGAAGGGGGTGGAGAAGCAGGGAGGAGATTAGAGCGTGACAGCATCAAAAAGACTCTGAAGAAAAAAAAAGGGGGGAAAGGGAAAGAGAGAAAGGGGATTGCAGTGACTGAGACGGGCAGCGGGGATGCCTGGTAACACCAGGAGGGAAGGACGGCTGGGGGCGCCCCAGGAAGGGGAGAGGGCTACGGTCACCTGAAGCGAGGCCCGGAGGGCTTCAGGTCCCCGTGTTTCCTATGGATCTCTTGTRCCTCAGTGTAACCGAGGGAGGAGACTGACCGCACGGGACGATTCCTACCCCCTTTCCCCTCATTCGCCCTCCCCGTGGCGGCCCTGATTTTCCTTTCGCGGCCACCTCGCTGTCCCCGCRCGGGCCGGGCTGCGGGCGGGGCGGGGCGCTGCCGCCATGACGGAGCGGCGCCGCCGGGCCCGCCTCCCGACATGGCCGCGCGCAGCAGGTAACGTGCGGCGGCG